TAGTTTGTACTCGTATCAGGATACTTATTAAAGGTACTCTGTAATATGACTTATTTTACACACATTCAGCTGTTGCCGCTAAATATGCGAATAATCCTACCGCTGTTATTTTTATTCCTTAAAGAGAATTTGGTTGAATTGAATTTATTCTTCCTTCACTCTCAAATTCACAAACTTTGTTTAAACTCACAAAAATGAATTTTTTGTTCGTGTTTTATGACGTAACAGTACCGTATCACGCTAGTCGCTTTAAATTGGCAATACCCAGATTAACAAGTTAACGCTTGTGACAGACGAAAGAACGCGAAGGCGATCTAACACAGCGAGCGGATGAAGCTACTATTGACCGCTTACCGATAGAAATTTTGTTGATAGTCTTCGGCTATCTCAACATCATCGAGCCGGGCGCCATACGCCGTGTGTGCATCAGCTGGCGTTTCTTCATCTGCCAGCCGTTGATCCACAAAACCCGGCGTCTCAACAGGGATGACATGGTGGCCCTGTGATGTGGGTGCGCTAACCGCTGCGAGGTCCGCTTCCGTGCGGGAGAGTGCTTCAGCGAGTCCATGCAACTGCAGACGCTGGAGCCGAAAGAGAACGACTGGCATGATTTCGCCACATGGCTGCAACGGATCGCCCAGCAACGCTGTCGCAGCGCCACGCTCCTTATCTTCTGGAGTTACTTGGCGGCCGGCAGTTAAATGTGACGGCGGATGGCCGGGATGGGGGCGTAGGCTGCGTAGCCAATGATGTGCACCTGCTTTTCAACGTGATGGCCGCGGTATGTCCGGTGGTGCAGCGGCGGAATGTCCATCTGCTCCTGATGTACTGAATCTCGTCCACGAGGACGTTCACGGTGGTGGTGCATGTAGTCACTGGATGTCTTCGGAATCAAAAACGCTTTACGGTGAGCGACTGGAGGAAGATCATTAACAGCAAGCTGCCCGCTGTCCAATGTATCCATCCGAAAGATTGTGAGATCAAGCACCGGAAGGACTATCTTGGTGATGGCTGGCAAAGGGCAATGGGAGGAACGTTTCAGGTATTAGGAAACAACACCGAAGTTCGGATTTGTTGGAAGCTGCACTTCAGGCAAATTAATGAATAACCCAGCTGCAGAATGCGATTGACAATGTAAGAAAATTGCCGGGTGCTTACGAAATCCGCGCCACGTGCCACGCTTTTTTCCGTGATTTTATAACTACATCAAACATGTACACTTTGCGCATCGCCTAAGTTGTATTGTGTTGCAGATTATGAATCGCACTGCGCGACAGCGAGCTGCTAAGGCTATGCCGCCGGAGCTCTCCCGTCGTAAGGTGTGGTCTGTCGACGATCTACGCACTCTGGATCTGCGCAGCTTACTGCTGCTGACATTGCATGTGTTAAAAGCTGTCTGTGAAGGCCGCAGCGAATTTGAGCTCGATCTTTCGTGGTAGTGCTTGGCAAAAACGATAGTAAACGATATTCATAATGGATAACGACACAGTTCTTCCTGTAGAGCCGTAGTATTCAAATACAGCGCGGAAATGTTCCAAGTGCAATGATAGTGTCAATGATATTTACTGTGCTTGCTGTGTTTATGGGTGTGATGTTTGAAACTGGCAGATGTAGCTGGTAACCAAATTAAAAAAAGGTAAAAGCCTGAACTTCTAGTCTGTAAATTACCGAAAACTGTAATAAGGTGACTTCAAACAAAGTAGCTGAGACGCCGGTCAGGGCTATCACTGGCAAGGCATGACGCCAAGACGCCAAGTCGGTACGCCGAAACGGCCGAATGTAGTTGAGCGCAACAAATTGCAAGGCACTGCAGGTGTACTGCGTTTGGTCGACGCGGCCTGGCTCGAGAAAGAGGGCCGGTCTTCGGTCCGATATGCATCCGGGCCATCCTACAGCACAACATTGGTCCACTCCGAGGGTGTGGTCACGCAAGAACTAGCAGCTATGTATGATAACAGGAAAACAGGCGGATACCCAACTCCAAGTCTCCAAGTAAAAGCAGACAAACCAGTGGAAATCGAAAAACACTTCGATGTTTTTCACATTCCGGTCGTCGTGCTTGTACACTCATGGACTCACTATCCAACTACACATCTTGGCCACATGTCTGCATTAGCGCACGCCTGTAACCGTCGAAAACGACCTTTCGTCTGAGACGACCGCCGGTCGTTTCAGCCTCTAAACCGTCCGAAACGACCAGGGGTCGCCAAAACGACCGCCGTAAATTTTGCCCTACCAGTTTTTTCGATCTTTCAGTCGCAAACAAAACGAATGAATGCAATTTCGTATCCGGTCGTTTCTGCCGGAGTGTAATTTCGTATCCGGTCGTATCTGGAGGTACACTCCGGCCGAACCGACCGAATACGAAGTTACACTCTGGCAGAAACGACTGGACACGAAATTACGCTCCGGCAGAAACGACCGGACACGAAGGCACACTCCGGCTTAAACGACCGAATACGAAATTACACTCCGGCAGAAACGACTGGACACGAAATTACACTCTGGCAGAAACGACTGGACACGAAATTACACTCCGGCAGAAAGGACCGGCCGCGAAAGTAAAATCCGGCAGAAACGACTGGCCGCGAAATTGCATTCATTCGTTTTGTCTGCGACTGAAAGATCGAAATAAACTGGTAGGGCAAAATTTACGGCGGTCGTTTTGGCGGCCCCCGGTCGTTTCGGACGGTTTAGAGGCTGAAACGACCGGCGGTCGTCTCAGACGACCGGTTGTTTTGGACGGTTACACACGCCCCAGCGCGCGGTTACATTTCCTATGTAGCGCAGATTTCGCTTGCTGTACAGTATAAACTTGCAATTTATTTCCGTAATGCGATAACAATATCAAGGTTCAGGTTCATTTAAACATAACAGCATTTTCTACGGTACCAATAACAGAAGCGGCAATACCTCTTTGAATAGCTAAAGAAATGTTCTGCCTTAAAAACTCGTGGCTGCGCGTTTCGCCTGTTTGTTGCTCGATTCTCTTTCCGACCTCTTTAAACAGCTTCTTCGCTGATGTGCCAAAACTACCAAAAGTTTCCAAACCAACAGCGGCAAACTCGTAGCGCCCGGACAGGAAGTTGTATTTTCTCACTTTTTCGGCTTCGGCCTGGTCGGCTGCCGATCCGGACTTTACGCTGGTGTGATCCAAGTAAGAGCGGGCAACAGTATCGACAACAGTTACATCCCACGCTAAACACAGCCCTCTGGTCCAGGGGAAAGTGGTGATTCCGTCGGGGCGTGTTTCGTTTTCGTGGTGCATGCCTCGGGGTTCCGTTCGCGCGGGGATGCCTGCCGAAACCAAAGCCCGTCGCAGGATATCGTTAATGCAGTCGTGTCTTGCCAGTCGTCCGGCAGAAAATTTACAACTTAAGCCATGATGGCCATCGGCGGCAACTACGGCACCGCACCCGCACTGGTGATCGGAGGATGCAGGTGCGCCAAGTCGAATGGCCACGGCGATGCGGAAGGCTTCGTCATCTAATAGGTTTCCTATCGGCGAAGAGGGAAGAGCGTGTGTCCAGACACCCGACTCCGGTGTTGAAACTGCCAACATCCGTGCCTTGTTGACTGCATCGGGAGCTTCGTACAAGTTGGTCTGTACAGTTGGTCTATAACTGTACAGTTGGTCTCTAACATTCCCTAACTCTGAACGCTCCTCCTCCGAGCATTCCCGATTGCGTTACCATATCATGCCAATGTACCAAACGATGCAGAAAACATTCATTAGATGTTTTTATCCTAAAGAAGGTGGACACTCACTGCGACTGCGAAAGTTACAATCATTTGTCTTTCTCGTGGACTCTCTACGAAAGAGCCCTTGGCCGTTGATCGTATGCTTAAGCAGTTAAACGTACGACAAATCGCGCTTCCTTAATCTTCCAAATGGTGTAGAATTTCTCCACATCGTTTATTACATTGTTTGGGGGTTTTTATTTCGCAGTTTACGAGAGCTGACAATTAAAATCAGCCTTACGATATGGATTTATCATTTACCTACGTAATTCTTTACCACCAGAAAAGCGGCCACAGCATGCCATCACTATCTTTGAATGTAACCGCGCGCTGTGGGTCTACTCATGCAGACAGGTGGCCAGGACGTGAAAGTTGACACTAGTGCTGATCAGACCTGGCTAAACATTTGGCAGATGTTTTTGCGGAAGTAGGGCACAACGCTCTCTTGCGCGCCCGTGAAAGATAACGCGAGTTAGTGACCACAACATTCTCAAGCCGAAAGCTAACGGCTGCGCTCATTGGTCCGCTACGTGATCCACAGATGAATTACAAAACGCAGCCTTCGAAGCTGCGTTTTCTATTTCACATACACATTCACCTCCGTTGTTGTGCATAGCCAACCGAGCTTTACATAGTGGTCACCGGAACCCGTAACATCTAATAAATATTAAAGCATTCTAATTGCTAATTTGCTAATAAAATGTGATCAAGTATTAATCCGCATTAATAATTTAGCCTCACTCGGATTTAAAAGTTGTTACTAGTAATAGGCTATTAGTGATTGTTAATTTAGTAATTACGATTAGTAATTAAAGTAATTATTATTAGTGATTACGATTATCAATGCACATTTGTAATATTGTGTAGGTTGTGTTACTGTAATTAAGTCTAATTACATTATTTAATAACGCGTATTAATTAGCTAAGTTACGTTGAGTAAATGGATACATTTTTTTCTTCAATTAAGTTGTAAATTATTGCATTAATTAATGACACCTCAAGCATGCGGATTAAAACGCGCCTGCGGCCCTGCTTTACAATTCGTTTGTGTGTACGCAGCACGATTCATTTAACAGTCAGTGCTTGCGTTTTCTCTGATGATCCACTGCATATTACTGGTCCAACGCATTTGTATTTTTTGCTGTGTGTCATCCATCGGTGCGCATTCTCCTTTCACATTTTATTTTGCGATATCTTTCTTGAGAAGATTAGCTAGGATTGATCGGACCTACTGCTAAAAACAGCGATTAGTAGTGATTCAGTACTAATAGTAATCGCTGTTTTTAGCAGTGTCAACTTTCACGTCCTGGCCACCTGTCTGCACATACTGATATTCAAGAGCAGTAACACTGCCATCGCCGTTCCGACCACCAGAACGCTTTCAAGTTTAATCAGTTTTAGTCAGGCTTTGGGTTTTAATTGTCTCTCTTATTGTTTGTTGAATTCGAATGTTGCTGTGGTGTTTTATTGCTCCTTCTCACTTTGGCTGTCGCTAAACACAAGGTGCTAGCAGATTCTTTGTAAGTGATCGTCAGCTATGGGTCTTACATCATATGTGTACGGATTTCTGCTCCTCTGTAGTTCCATATCGTCCATCATGTGCTCGGTCGGGCTGACGTTCTGGGACGTGGCGACGTTTGGGTTCTACACTCAGCTATTTGGACTGGGATTTGCATTCGGTTTTCGAAGTCACAGTCAGGTGCGTGGCGCTCTCGAAGTTGAAGAATCTTGAAGAACCAACCCATCCTCTGTTTTTCTCTCGAACGAACATTCGCTCACAAGTGTATGATCATTGATTTAACCAGAACATTCGGATTGATTTTTCGAATATGTTTGGGACTGCAGTACAGTAATGTAAACCGAAGTGAGGTTAGAAGGAAAATTCTACTGTACGCACGTGCATTTTACTGTTACCACTGGTAATTTACCAGCATTACGGTTCTCGTATTTTCGACAGTCCAGAAAGCGCGCACTGCCGGATAAAACCGCTGTTGCCCGCTTACCACGAGAGCTTTTATCCATCGTCTTCGATCACCTGAACATCGTCGAACGCCGGACCATGGCCCGTGTCTGCATGGGATGGAGGCTCCTGATCTGTCAGCCCGTGGATGCCACAGCCTGGCACCTCCGCTGGAAACATGTACGGCGCATGCACTGCACTTCCACCCGCGGCTTCAAGATCAGCTTCTTGAGGGGTGCATATAGCAGCTACGAGATTATGGAAGAAGTTGTACCCCAGCCGAACGATGACGACTGGCCGGATTCCGTTAATTGGCTGAAACGCATCGCCGTCAACAGCCGTCGCCGTTCGACGCTGCTCATTTGTGCAGCTAAATGGCACGCCAACTTCGTGACTGCCAAAAGGGTGGCCGGGTTGGGGCGTGGTCAACGATACGAACTGCTTCTTCGACCTGATCGCGGCCGTGTGTCCGTCGGTGGAGCTGCGGAATATCCGCTTGGCGCTGACATATCCGGTGACGTCGACGCAGACCTTCACGGTGGTGGCGCATGTGGTCTCGGGACGCTTTCATATTAAGCAACGTTTTGCCGCCGGAGACTGGAAGAATATGATTAACAGCGCCCTGCCTGTATTTCAGCCGGAAGAATGTGGGATTAAGCGCCTGATGGACTGCCTTCGCGATTATGGAAATGATGTAAAGAACGGCGATTTCCTGACGGACAACAGCACTGAAATTCCCGAACTGATCGATGCTGCTTTGCAGGTATGCGACTGTTGTTTGCATAGTACTGTACATTGTACAAGTACACATCATTAGCTATAAAAAGCGATAAATAGTGGAGTAGGATTTTTACGGGGCGAAGAAATAGGAATTTCGCGTCATACGCCAAGCCGTTTTCCATGGTTTCTTCAAATCCTACATAAAATCCCTCCAAATTGCAAGTTATTTTTATGCTTTGCAGATTATGAACCGCGTTACGCCGGAAGCAGACTTCTCCGGCCGAAAGAAGTGGTGCGTGGAGGACCTACTTGCCCTGGACGTGCAAAGCCTTCCGCCATTAACCCTGCATGTATTAAACGCCATCTGCGAAAACCGCACCGAGATGGTTATTGATATTTCATGGTAGTGCTGACGCGCTTTGAAGGACAAGAGCGCGGTAGCGTTACAACTAGTGATTACTGTAAATCCGTTTATTAGAATTTTATGGGAATAAATTTGACTGCCTTTACCTGTTAAAGTATTAACGTTATTCTGGAGAAATCTAACCTGAATGCGGTTTATTCTGAATTAAAGTATATTGCTTGTGCAGTGCGTTTCTGAAGCGAAAACGTGTATTGAGTTTGTGTATTGACGTGTACTGAGTTTCTGAAGCGAAAACGTGTATTGGGTTTCTGAAGCGAAAAACGTCTGAAGCGAAAACGTGTTCGAAATTAAGTAATGATGCCACTGATTTAATTCCTGGAACTGCTTTAGAGGGAAAGTGCTGAGTACACATAATGTTATACAAGATTTAGACTAACTATAAACGCAGACATTTTTAACTGGCGATAGCCACCCAAAGAACAATAATCGCAAGCGCCGGCACACTACTTCATGGTTAAAATTTAAACATTAAAAAAACAAATCAAGTCTCCATCCTCTCTAGGGTTAAAGGATAACTTGGTTGAAGCAGCGGTAGCGTTGAAACAGCGGTAGCGTTTCCCTAAACAACAGCTAAACTAAAACGCTGTTTAAGAAAAGCAGTAAAGCGCGCCTCGCCAGTTAAATAAATGCAGACTAACTATAAATAATCATAGGATCACGGAGGCTTCCAGGGGCGATGTGTTGGCAACAGGCACTGCAGTAGTAAGCGCTTGTTGCGTCATCAATCATATTTTACGTTAATATCTACTGGGGCGTGTAGAGGGCAGACGTCTTTCTAAGGAATACTGACAATTTGTGCAACCGATGTTGCACCTGCTGTGTTAAAATAGATCCAATGCATAAGCTCGTACCTGATGGGCCGTTGGTTAATGGTGCACACTTGTGTTGGCTAATCATTATTCCGACCCTTCGCGATCTCCTGTTTCATACGAGTACAAACCTGCTATTTATTCACACGGGTTTACGGGTATAGCTTAGTACTGTTGGCGATAGCTAGGTCTAAGCAAATTAATGCTTTCGGTGTGTATCGCTAGACAGCTCAGCTCAATAAAATTATCAGCTCACATTCTATGTCCCATTGGCAATGACGACGGGATCATTTCTACCACAAAATATTGATTTCACATATTACCATTTACCTTCCTCTGTTCCTCATATAATTATTACCAAATATATTTAACCACAAAATTTCCTTATAAACTGCCAAGGATTTCCGATAAATTGCCGCATCTCTCAGTCTGATCGTCTGGTTGATCGGGTTACGGCGGCTTGACAAGTATTCTATCTGTAACAACGTCTCCAGTTTTTGTTATTGCAACAAAACTGATTTGCCTGCTGTGCTCACTATAGCGAGATGTCGTTGTGCTCGAGATTGGTGTCCTTTGGCGCGGTGTTGCTGTTGGCCGTGGAAATCAACGCTACCTTGAGCATGTCGGCGGCACCGTCATCGACGATGTTTCGTTTGTATATGCACCGCACGAGAACGGCTTTAGCGAATCGTCAGGGGCGATCGCCGTCCAACACCACCACGACAGGGTCCACCACGACGACCACGGCAATCCCAGTGGAAAGCAGTCGGCCCCCGCACCACTTAGGACCCTGGCAGACAATCAATCCATTCGACCGAGGACTGCGCCGACGGTATATGCTTCTGCGCCGAGTACAAGCACAGGTAGCGGCCTATCGCGGCAATCCGGCTTTCGCTTCTGGCCAAGGCGCAGTTGTCAAGAATGTGCTGGACATCGGCATCGGAATGGGATGGATAGCACCGTGGAATGATCCTAAGGATTCAGTAGTATGATGGCAGCTACGGAGACCGCTGCTCTTTATACCGGATGATAACTAGGAGCTTTCTTTGTCTCGTGACTCTGTCGAGAATGTGGCAGTGTTAATGTTGATGCTTGGCTTTATATTGCCGGGATATTCAATGAGCTTTCTTATGATCTGACCCCGTGATTCTGTTGAAAATGTGGCAGCTTTAATGTTGATGCATGGCATTTTACTGCCGGTTCATTTCAATGGGCTTTCTTTCCCGTGATTCGGTTAAAAATGTGGCTTCAGCTAATGTTGAGCTTTGCTTTACTTCGCTTGTGATGTTGAAAAATTGTATAGACCTCGAGTGTTGTTTGGGAAACACAAAACTTAGACATCTACGTTTGCAATTTGTGCTTACTGATCTATGCTTGTCGTGAACGCTCATTAAAATCACTGTGAACACCAGCCTTTATATAACAGATACACAGCTTGACAAGGATAAATCATGACGTATACAATGCATATCATAGCGAATTTATTCAGATTGTCATGTCTTGCTTGACCCCTTGCTTGTCATGTCTTGCTTGCTTTAACTGACATCTTTCCCGCCTCGGACGTACTTCGTTAAATGCACGAATTACGAGGACACCCTAGACTGCAGGAAAGAAAAATCGGAAATTCTATGTAGTGAACGCTTTTTATGATTTTTTTCGAGTCGTAATTGTGTATTATCCTGAAGCGCTGAGTTGAGTTTGTAGATAGCGGATTATGTCTATATCTTATCTTATCTCATAACTTATTATTGTTTCTCCACAACCTTCTTTTCACTGGACCAAATTCAAAGTGATCAAACCGATTCTATCGCCTAGTGGCCTCTAACTGTTCGAAATCCTAAAACAACTTAAGTTGTATACCGCTGGTAATTTATCAGTCACTAATTGCGTGTTATGTACTAGCTGCAGTATAGTATAATGAAAAGCTAATGAGCTGCTTAGTTTTTCTACGTCTTTTTCCATATTTAACGTCCACAACGGGCCGCGGCCCGGGCCATGGCCCATCTCCCCGGGCCGAGGGCCGCGGCCCGGCGCGGCCCTCCCAAAAGTGCCGGGCTGACCTCGGCCCGGGCCGTTCGGGCCGCGGCCCTGGGCCGGGCCGGCCCAACACTAAATGAGCATTACCTCCAGACAATCGCAGTATTAGCGCCAGTGAATGCAACGGGATCTCGGTCAATCTGCAACAGCCTGGATACAGCAGCGCATTGCAGAAAAACGCCGCTGCAATTCAAGGCTGTTCAAGGCTGTGCAATTCTTCTCCGGCGTCCCGCGTTGACCGACTGTAAGGATGAGCATCGGATAGCCGGGAAGGGGCGTGGTCAGTACTGTTTACTGTTTCCTGGATGTTATCGCTGCCATGTGTCCAGTTGAGCAGCTGCGGAATATCCAGCCGACCGTGACTTAGCGTGGTTCAACGACATGGACGTTGATGGTGGTGGTGTGAGTGATTACAACGCTTTACTGTGGATGACTGGAGGAATATCATTAATAACAGTTGTCCATTAACAAATACAGAATCAAACTGCATATGATGTTATTCGATGCAGCCTGCAGATGCTGGACCGCGCTGTGCTACAACGAGAGACTGCTTGTGGTCCGCGATGTAGTAAAGTAAGTAAATAAACACTGTTTGCCAAGATCGCCGGAATTGGCTGTTGTTATTGCTTGGTAGAGCCGACGCCCAGCCATGCATTCTCTTTGATCTGTGTATGTCGAACAAAAGGGAACCACGTGATGATGAATCACTGAGCACATACAACCATTATCATTCTTACCAACTGATTACTTCACTGGATGGTATTCGCCCAGGAGAGACTCATACGCTGGCGCTGACGGCAGACAAAAAGAACGTGTTGAACTGCGATATAGCACCTTTCCTGACTCTTAGCCGTCCTCGCGATAACGGCTCATTCCAGTGCGCTTCGCTGTCCGAATTTATGCCCGTTTGGGATGAATTGGTTCTGATAAATTACAACGCGGCGGACGCAATCACTATATCTGTTTTTGAAATATTATTTCGGGATAAGGGAGCGACTTTGCCAAAGCATTTTCTGCGTCCCACGGTTTTCAGCTTTCGGAGTGTTAATGGTATGATGACATGCCTACGCATTCACTCCAAGGAAACAACCGAAGAACAGCGCCGAATGTTTTTGGCTGCAGCTAACGATAATTGTCCGACCGTAAGTGAGCGGATACTTCGGAGGGTTACAGCGTTGCATGCGTGCTGGGTGCGGATCACGCTCCAACCGGAATTATGGAGCACCATTCGTGTCTTCCTGCAGCCGTAAGTATTTTCTGCCTTGATGAGCTCCGTAGTGTCTGTGCCGGCCATAATATTTCAGTAAAATAAACAGCGTTCGCCATGCGAGCAGACAAGCAACCGAACATCAGGCGCAGCAGCAATGTACGTACACATGTAACCGTCCAAAACGACCGGTCGTCTGAGACGGCCGCCGGTCGATTTGGACTCTAAACCGTCCGAAACGACCGGGGGCCGCCGAAACGACTGGCTACGAAATTACGCACCTGCTGAATCGACCGGATACGAAATTTCACTCCGGCAGAAACGACCGGATACGAAATTACAATCCGGAAGAAACGACCGGCTGAGAAATTACACTCGAGGCTCTGGTTCA